GCACTCGAATATTCACATTGGTTCATGTTTCTTATTTGTTCATCAGGTGGTTTATGATCTAGTGAAGCACAAGTTTGCAGCACCAAACCAAGTAGCTACCATCTACGATATGAAAGAGGTTCGATTTGTATCTTTGTTACTGCATCTTAAAGAATCCTCGAAGTGTTGAGAGATCGGATCTTTATAAAAAAGGCTGAAAAAAATGCAGAGAGTGGAGGATGGGAGGAACTATTATACGTTTGAGTATGGACTACGAACTCCAATCTATGCAACCACTTCCTTTGCAACAGTAGCAGTTGGAAACAGTAAGCATAGATTATAAGAGATTTAATCGTAAATGATAGAAGAAAGTGAGGAATAACAAGTGTTTTGATGTTGCAGACAGATACTACACACTCATAGTTGGAGCAAACGAGAGAAGATGGAGGAAAGTGAAGAAGCAGCTTCAAGTTGTAGCTGACTCTTTGAAGATCCTTCAAATTTGACAAACTCAATAAACATCTTTGTGTTACTTCTATCTATCAATTTGATATTTTTCATTTTCTCTATAACTCCAACGATGTGTTTTGGTTCAATAATAGAGATGCATTTAAAAGCCCTGCCAAATAAAAGTGGATACAATGTATTTACAAAACATACGCCATTTTTTTTTTATCTTTCTTCCTAACCATTACACATTCTCCACCTAAATCAATCACCCACAACAAAAACAAAAACAAACCTCAAGCAAATAAATTGCTTCTAATCTTCAGTTTCAATAAACAAATCGATATACCTTAAAGAGACCAAGCAATGAATAAACACAGTCCTACTTCTTTATTGCTTCGTCTCCTGAAAGAATATGGGGAAATCTACGTCTACAAGCTCCTAATTTGCTTACAGAAACTAACCGTGGTTGTACAACTTCTTCTCATTTGGTGTCAATCCTGGACCGATAAAGCCTTGATCAGATTGCAAGTTTATGTCCCGTGATCGCAGCCAAGGCAGCACGTGATGGTTGGTATGTGACTGAACTGATCTCGATTAGGCACATGAGTCAAATCTCTCTAGATCAGTCGATGTTGGCGTAGACCCTTGCCAAAATGTGGTTGCATTAAACGGACATACAATCCGTTTTTACCCGCTAAAGAATCGTGCGTACCTTCCTCTACTATTTTGCCTCCATTTAGAACCACAATGTTGTCCACGTGTCTCATCATTGCCGCTCTATGCGCTATCAGAATCGTTGTTTTGTTCCCCATTATCAAGGTATCAAGAGCTTCCTGCACAACACGGCTTGACTCGGATTCGATAGACGAACTCGCTTCATCTATCAACAGTATCGGAGCATTCTTCAGCACTACTCGAGCTATCGCGATTCTCTGTTTCTGTCCTTGGGTAAGTTCAACACCTCTCATCCCGATATGTGTGTCGTAACCGTGAGCTAAGCTGCTGATGAAATGGTGGGCATTTGCAATTCTTGCTGCTTCCTTCATCTCAGCTTCACTCGCGTTATGTCTTGCATATATAATGTTTTCTCTGATCGTTGTGGAAAAGATAATGGGTTCCTGTTGAATCAGACCCATGTGGCTTCTCAACCATCTCAAATTATACGACTTCAGATCTCGCCCATCTAACAAGACCTGACCAGCAACTGGGTCGTAGTATCTCTCTATCAGTGATATTATCGTGCTCTTTCCAGAACCAGAAACACCAACCACAGCTACTGTTTGTCCCCCGTTGACTTTGAGACTGAAGTTGCTTAGTACCAACACTTCTGGGCGAGTTGGGTAGCAGAAGTCGATGTTTTTCAGTTCAATGCTTCCATATACGTTCGGCGGACTTAGCGCAGAGGTATCATCAGGTTCGATTGTCGGCACTCGATCTATGATTTCAAATACTGAAGCGAGAGATTTACGGCGCTTGAGAATGTAAGGCGCTAATCCGAATGGCTCGACAAGGGCAAATGTAGCAAAGGAGAAAACCATGTACTCGGTTAGAGCTGTAGACAATTTCATATATTTGCGGTTTACTGATAGTGCAGTGTACCAAAGGAGGAGCGCATTGCAGGCAAAGAGAAGAAACTGTGAGAAGCCAAACGCAAAGCCAATAGCCATCCCATGGAAAAAGCTCTGCCTGAGTATCCGTTGGAGTTGCAATCTGTAGAGTTCCATCACCTTGTTACCGGCACAGAAAGCGACAACAGTATATATGTTTCTGACAGCATCCTCAAGTACTAAAGACGCCTTTCGATGCATCTCCTGGATGCCCTTTGAGAATCCAGCGAGCCAAAGTTTCTGAAAATTTATTTCAAACATTAGATAGACAAATTCACATCCTAAATCGCTACTTGAACTGGAAACCTTTTGCGGAAATCAAAAACACATTTGAACAGAGTGAAGCATGTGACTACTAAACTGGCATTGGTTAACAAACAAAAAAAGACAATTTCAAGCGGTCTTCTTGACCGTAACATAAAGCTTAATTGGGGAAGACTGAAGAAACAAAACAAACCTGAGCAATGGCAGAGAGAGTAAGTATTGGCAAAGTCGCCAATGCAACAAGGGCCAAACGCCAACCAAGGAGCAAACCAATAAGAATGGCAACTATAACAGCAAAGCTATCCTGAATAAATATCGAAAGTCTATTGCTGAAGGCGGCTCGGACAAAAGTGGCATCATTTGCTAGGCGCATCGATAAAGTATCTGGACTGTTATCTTCTTCGTCAAACCATCCAACTTCATTACGCAGCATCGCTGTTACATCAGATAAAATCAATGAACTGAAAGTGAAAGTAGTAACATGCAGTGAAGTTAAGCAATGAAGAAAATATTCCAGTACCCGAGAACATCATTCTCCGTACTCTCTCTGTCATTTTCTCCCCCATAATACCAAAGTAGAAATGTTGCAAGAAATTGGCAACAACTGTCACTATTCCCATGCAGGCAATGATCAAGCACCACTTGTCAACCTCTTCGCGCAGGTGGCTTCCCTTGTTCTTATAGTATGCCGTCACTACCAATGCAATGACGTAAGCTAACAGAGGATTGAAAGAACCAAAGATGGCAGCACCAATACTCCCTAATACAGCATATAACCACTCTGGAAAACTAAGCTGTGCCAACCTCCAAAATGAAGGTGACTCCTTGTGTTGAGCGTCTTTAGCTAGCTTAACATTTGCTGAAGTCTCATCAGATTGACCAAGAGGGCGGCTAAATGTCTGTGAATGGGAGCGCTCATTTTGAGGATCTGATATTAAAAGGGGTGATATTGGAGACTCCGGATCTGAACCATTTGAGTTCTGACGTTGTGGACACTGGATGTCAATTTTCGGTAGTTCTGGTAACCGCATCTCAAAACTATCTTGTCTTTTGATAGTTGGTTCCTTATCACTGACATCCGATCCATTTTCCCCCATTTTCTCTGGTGCAGGGCTATGATCATTGGGTGATTCTTCACTATTAAAGCACATGTCCTGGGGACGGAAAACACCATGATTTCTCTGAAGAGATGGAGACTTGGTCATTTTCGGCGATGATGGTTCTTGGAAGCCACGACCAGCTGAAGAATCCCTCTCAACCTGGAAAGCAGCAGACTCGTTGTAGTTCCTAACTGGCATCCTACATGAAGATACAAGTTCCACAAACAAGTAGAATCGTTAAAGTCCACCCTTCCATAAATCATTACAAACCAAAAGCAGTTGGTCAAAAAATATTCTACCACATGACTTTCACTACACAACAGAGTTGACAAGTTGTTAGATATATGTCTTGGCTGGAGAATCATACCGTCTCGGTAGCTTTGTTGCTTCTTCACACTTTAGAAGCTCGGCATACAAATTACCAAGGTTGATTAATTCATCATGTGTGCCCATTTCAAGTAGCTGACCTTCTTCCATTACAGCAATATAGTCAGCATTTCTTATCAGACTTAGCCGTCGCGCTATTATTATGGTCGACCGTCCTAACATTAGAAGATCGAGAGCTTCTTGGACAACTCTTTCAGCTTCAAAGTCCAGTCCTCCAGTGACCTCATCAAGCAGAAGAATAGTTGGATCTACAAGTACAGCTCTGGCAATCGATAGTTTTATTTTCTGCTCCTCTGTTAGCGTTAACCCAGCCTTCCCAACCTAGTAGAGAGACAAGTCATTTCCAACTTCTAAAATGAGAATAGCAGCACCAAAAGTGCAATTCATAACTAGTAGCTTTGCAGTGGATGGTTACCTGAGTATCATATCCTTTTTCAAGTGAGCTGATAAATGTGTGTGCACGAGCTTTTTTAGCTGCCTCCTCTATCTGATCCAGAGTAGCATCTCGGCCATATGCAATATTTTCTCTTATACTCAAGCTAAGCAAAGCAGGCTCCTGTGTCACCAGGCCTATTTGGCTTCTCAGCCACTCCAATTTTAGATTTTTAATATTTTCCCCATCAAGTAGCACTTCTCCTGTTTAACAAAAAACCACAGATCAATTCAGCTAATTATAGTCTCTGCTGCACGTGAGTATGCAACGGGGTCATAATAAAAATAGTGAACATCTTAAACCAGACATCATAATACCTAGTGTAGGATCATAAAACCGTTCCATCAGAGGAATAATGCTACTTTTTCCAGAACCATTTCTACCAACAAGTGCAACAGCTTTTTTAGAAGGCACAGTGAGATAAAATCCACTCAAGATTGGAATTTCAGGCCGTGACAAATAGCTGAAATATACGTTCCGAAACTCAATATTTCCTTCAACGATAGGCAAAGTAGTTCCCTCTTGATTTGTCCCAGAGGACGAACGGCTTATCATCTCAAAAAGCCTATATGCTGCAATCCTTCCTTGATCAAATGAATAAAAGTTTGTAGCAGCTTGATTTAAACCCCTGCACAGCAAAATATGAATACAGTTAGCAAAGAGATGTGTATATAGACACTGGATAAGAAAAATAGAAGAATTAAAGTAGAATTTGAAGCTTACAGCCCACTTAAAATAACAGCAAAAAGGGCTGTAATGATTTCTCCACCATTCGCTCTTCCATGAATAACAAAGAACCGACCAATCCAAAGTTGCATAGCACATGAGCATATAGCAAGCCCATAAGTAAATCCAAGTCCAAGTCCTTGCACAAGACTAATCAATATACCATATCTCAGAGTTGCTTGGAGAGAAGTTGCATAAGAATATTTTGCAAGAGTTTCATTTGTAAAGGCATACAAAGTCCTAATGTAAGAGACCGCCTGCACATTAAGAATAACCCTTTTAAGCGTTTGAAAAGTCATACAGGACGCATACTTACACAGTAAACTATCCAGAATGGAGAACTAAGAAAATGAACTTGTATTCATAAGACAGATTAGCGGGAGCATAGCTTCCATGCATACAAGTTGATGCAATATCCAAGTTATGGATGCTAAGAATGATTATACATGCATCGTAGCATAACTAAAACAAAGCCATGGCTTGGGCAATATGTTGAGATGATTTTTGATTCCCGATTGCAGTACAGCGCACAAAACCAA